TAAAAATTATTCTAACTACAAATTTTGTAAATATTCTAGTGATAGAAATTATTTAAGTCCTAACAATTGTACTTATAAAATAATTGGAAATATTTCTAAGTCCAGACCATGACATACACTGACGTGAAGGTGCTCAGTGCAGCATAGACAAGACTCGTCTGATTTGCCCTTGTTTTCGGGTCCCTTTTATATGTGATATTGTATGTGTGTATGTAAAATCCCAAGTGTGTGTGTGCGTCAATGATAATAAAATAAGACAACTTCCACGAATTGTGAGTGTGCATGTGCGCTAATGATAATAAAATATTGTTAATTTCCCATCAATTCCGCACATGTGTGTATTACACAATTGCTGATGCAGGGACACAGGATGTGGTCGCCACATCATTCCGATAAACTATTTTATTACAATTTCCCAGAAAACGTTTATGTGAACCCTTTCACTTGTCTACGTATCTGCGACTCCAATATTCATATTCTCAATTAAACAGACAACCATGTGTTAACAGACAACACGCCCAGTTTGATGTTCATGAGAACCTCTTATAATGTGTTTTATATTATGTGACTACGCAGTACGCGACATTAAACACCTAGAACTAGGGAACACAAATTAGAATAAACAATAGTAACTGTAGTCACGAACGATATTTACCGGACAGTTATTCACAACAAGAAAACGTAGTTTTCACACCTTTATACCTACATAATTTTTTTTAAATAAAACAAATTATTAATACTTTTAGGGGGTAGAATAATATTGCGTACGCTGCTTATCGGCAATACCTTTTTCAACCATTTTTATAATACGATTGCATACGTTATTTTTATGCAACGTTGTCACTTGTCACGCCGAGAAATTTCCCGATAAACCTGGAAACGATATGAAATGATCATCGTGAAATGAAAATTTACACTACGTATAACCGCTGTAGATGTTATTATTTGACCAACCACCGTTCACATCGAGTGTAGTAAAATAATAGAAAAAATATGGAAAATTTGGTAAATCAAGAAATTAAAATAATTACGTCAGAACGTGGAAAAGACTTGGCATTAACTGGCTCAAACAAATATCGTTTTATACGCCAACGAAAAGACGGGCTAATTAAATGGTTGTGCACAAAAAGGACATGTTACGCCAGTTTATTAACAGACAGTGGACGTTCAAAAATTAAATCAATGTTGGGTGTGCATAACCATATTTTAAATACAAAGGAGAAAATTTAACACCAAATTTTACGAGAAAATTGTAAACGTAAAGCAGATGATTCGATTTCAATTAGGCCATCAAAAATAATCAGATCTGGGCTCATGGCAACTAATTTTGAAGTGCCACGCTCAGCTATAAAATCTATAAGAAAATCAATGTACGACAAAAGACGATAAAATTATCCTCCTTTCCCAGATTCATTGACCTGTGCTCTATCTCAGTTAAGAAAAATGGAAGAAGATGATTGTCTGAAATTTAAAAATGAAAAATTTGTTCACGCTCCAGATGATTTGCAATTTATTTATATTGCAACGAAGATAAATATTAATATATTATTACAGTTGGAAGATGTATTTGTAGATGGTACGTTTGAATACGCACCCAAATACTTTTTGCAACTTTATACAATACACGAATTAAAAAACGGTTATTATTTACCTTTGGTTTATTTTTTTTTAAGTGACAAATGCAGAGAAACTTATATTCAAATTATTTTTTTTTAATTGACATATTTAATTGAATTAAGCTCAAAATATTCATCTGAAATATTAAATATAAAACAATTGCATGTCGATTTTGAAATTGCTGCCCATGCAGCTGCAAAAACGAAGTTTCCTAAAATAAAAATTATTGGTTGTCGATTTCATTTAGGCCAAGCTTGATGGCGTAAGGTAAGTATCTATAATTATAACATAAAAAAATTGTTATTAATAAAATATTTTATTGATTAGATACAAAACTACAATATTTTACGAACATCGTATATTAATGAAGACAAATTGGACCAGTGGTTAAAATTATTTTTTGGATTACCATTTTTACCATTCGAACAAGTTGAAGATGATTTTATTCAAATTATGAGTTCGTGTCCAAATGAAACTGATGGTCATATATTTTCGGATTATATTTTAAAGACTTATATTGAACCTGGGTGTTTATTTCCTCCTAAAATATGGGCAAAAGAGCCATCAATTATACCTTGGTAAGTTTATTTAAAATCATTAACTTAGGGCCCGGATTTTTATGCATTTGCATGTTTTTTTAGCATATAAATCCGGGCTCTAATCATTATTGTATAATGTAAACATCTATACCAATAAATTGAATCAATAGAACAACAAATGGCCCAAAGACTTTTCACAAGATGTACAATGGGCAATTCCATTATGCACATCCACCAACACATTTGGTTATATCAATATTAAGAGAAATCCAAATCGAAAGAATGACGAAAATTTGTTCAATTTCAAAAGGAATTAAAAAAAATATGGCTCTAGCTGATTTAAAACGGATTAAAGCTTCTATTAAAATTTATGATCAGTATAAAATTAATCGATATTACAATGTATTTATCTAAAATTGGTTCTATTTACCAAGAAAAAAAGGTATTTTATTTTTATTTTAATAATGTTTATGTGATTTATTATACATAATAATATGTTTGTTTATGTTTTATGACAAGATGTCGCTCTAACGTCTGTCACAGTGTAATATAGCTACTTTTGACATGTAGTTCTACGTGATAAGCTGTTTGCTATTAACTAATTATTTTGTAAACTCGTTTTTTTTTTTAAAAAAAAATAAACACAACTTCATACTATATAGTTAGAATTTTTAAAAAATTTTCAAAACGTATGAAATTTTGAAAACAAAATAAATGTAAAATTATAAATTTGGCAACATAGCATACGCAATCGTGTTCTTAAAAAGGTAAATCGTACGCAATCGGGTTCTACCCACTTATAGGTATGTATAATTTATTTTAAATAAATCATATTTTTATTAATACTAACTTAAGTACACGGATGAAACTATATTAGTTCAACATTAGATAATAAACATTGTTTTATTTATTAAAATTAATAGCTTACTAATTTATTTAATTATCGAGTAACATAATTAAAAGTAATAATTTTCTAAGGATGCGCTGAAAATTTTTATTGCCTGTGTGCCCAGAAATGTTTAGTCTAACACTGGTGGTATTCATAAATAATTTATGAAAATAATTTAATTGCTGTCTAGTTTTAATACAAATTAAAATGTAAATTGTGTGTATAATATCAATACCTAGACCAATACTTAAATCGAAAGAGTAAATTACTAATGTTCTAGGTATTATATTAAAAACAAAATTATATATAAATAAATAGCATACATTGTTTACGCGCTATACACGTAGTCTTCTTATTATTATTATTATTGTTATCATAATTGCAACCACGACGGCGTCGACCTGTCCTTATCTGTGTCCACCTTCCTAATCTTCCGTCTATGTGAATTTTAATTAGTATGTGTTCGTTGATTATTGTCTTATTTATTTATTCTTATTATCTCTCGTTAATTTTGTATTATCTTTGTTAATAAATTATGCAGATTAGTGAATTATTATACTTATTACATAACGGTCAACGCCCTTTATTATATTACGTATTTTTATATTTTTCTATATTTTTCTTTTCTTTCTGTCGTTCGCTGTTCGCCACTAAGGCAACACATTGTTTTTATCGATCTTTTTGTCATTCATTAAGGATACAAAACATATATAGTTTTTTTTATTATTTCAATTGCCGTACGCCATTTAGACAACACCTCTTTTTATATACCTATTATATTTTCGTTGTCGCGAACTTTTCTCACCGCACCGTCCCGCAATTAATGCGGACGTTTATTAGTATCATTATTATTATTATTATTATTAGTGAAAAGTCATAATAAATAAAGCAAAACATTACCATAACCAGATCTGCGTTGCGTGAGTTATTTAAATATTATTAGTACGTGTCACCTTTTGTTTTGTTCTCTTCGTCGTGTCTCCATTGTGTGAGACCAGTACAATATTTTGGTCATCGTCGAAACACTTCGGTAGTGTCCGCCTTCACCTCTGCGTAAGTCCGCCAGCCACTGGGTGGTGTGTGAGGCCGCCACGGTCTTCGAGAGTTACCAGTTACCAATGCAGTTACCATAGTCGTCACGTATTTTAAGTTGTGATTTGAGTGTTTAGTTAGTAAGGTATTTTTCCGATTTTGTGTGAGCTCTGTGGTCATTGCACCACACCGATCCGACCACAGAGACTCCCCCCTTTATAACTAAACTCAATATCCCCATTCCCGTTGACACGGCACACAGGTGGTGGTGATGTGCGCACGGGTCGCGGGTGTTGTACACAGTGATGGACGATATTATAATAAAAATAATAATAAACAACGACGCGGGTTATTTCAGATAGTAGTTATTATATATTATTTATCAACACACTGAATTTAACAATATTAATAATAATAAAAAAAAAATGAATGAGGGTGCACAAAATGTAACAATTGTATAACAAAAAGCTGAGAGTAACGACGAGATGTGTCTCCGTACGCGATCTCGGAAAAAACAGCCCGGTTATATCGTGGTACCTGTCGGACGTCGTAGCGACCGCTCGCGTCCCCTGTCCGGTGATGGATGGGTGGACGGGGGTCGCTGCGGCGTTGCGTGCCGCGGAGTGGCGGTTGATGAGAATGATAAGGCACGGTCGGCGACTGCCGTTTCGATAACGGCTGCCGCACGGGTCCGCGTCATACTCCCCCGCCAAACCGCCAGTCGCGGTACTGCTCCAGTTCGGTACGCTATTTCCCCGTGACTGTTATGGTGGTTCGTCCGTCGGCGATGTCCGGACTTATTGGGTCGGGTCGCCGACTAACTGTACCCCCATTGTGGTGTCCCCCAGTCGTGGTGGGGATGACGCCGAGGCGTGGAGACGATGTCCAGTCTATGGTAGACGGGTCGTATCCAGCCGTGGTGTCTAGTCCGCCCTGGGGGATGTGAGCGGTGTGGAGAACACGGGCGGGCCTTCCTCGATGTCCGGGAAGGTTGGGAGTGGTGACCCGGGTTCATCGAGGATTCGGTCATCGACCTCCATCGCCTCCCCCGGGTTGGTGTCTCGCTCCGGCCGGTGTTCCTGGGCGGAACCACCTGGCACCGGTGCTGACACCTGCACCGACTCCCGATCTTCCGGGTCGGTGGCCGACCCAGCCGAGGTAGTCGCCTTCGTCAGCCGGTACTGCTGACTCGGACCTTCCCTCTCGGCTTTTGCCCGCAATCTCCTTTGCCGCTGATGTTCCCTCCTCCGCTCCTTGGTCCGTTCTGCCGACCGCGTTGATGTTGTCGGCTTGACGGCCTTGGGCCAGGGCTCCAATGGTCCTCGCTTGTCGGAGGGAGGTGCAGGTGGTGGCGTCGGTAGGCGGTCCACGTACGCCACGCGGCTTGGCATCCCCGTCCACTCCGTCGTAGGTGGGTGTGGTTCTGCTGGTGGCATCCTCGGGACTAATGGACGCCCCGGAGCCGGCCTCACCCAAGTGATGTCCCGTTTTGTAGCTGCGGGGCGGGTGGGTTGCCGTGGTGGAGGTGCCTTGATGGTGGTAGCCGGTGTGGTAAGGGTGGCCGTCACTGTGCCGGTAGCCGCCCTCACGCGCCTCGAACCCGTTGCCTTGGCGGTTGGGACCCGCTGGTGTGTCGACGGGCGTGGTGTCTTCGCCGTTGATGGTGTACCCGGCGACCTCGCCGCCGAGGAGCCAAGTGTCTTGACCAGGTCGACGGTCCGGTCGGCCCACCCCCGGCAGTAGGCTGCCCAAAGGAGCGGCTCAGCCCGCAGTTGGTCTACCCCCGCCTTGTTGACGTCGTCCACTGTGCGGCAGCTTCCCGACGATCCCTGTGACGTGACCGCCTCCCTAACCTTTTCCAACATCTCCACAACCTTGTTAGTGTCCATGTTGTTCACTGATGGTGGCTGGAGGTGGTGCTGAAAAACGCGCAATCGTGTAATTAATTAATTATGTGCGCGTTTTAGGCAGGACACGTGGATCTTTCTCGGCGGTAGCTGATCGGTTAGGAAAACTCCTTTACCAACTCGCTTTTCCAGCCTTACGGGACCCCACCATTTCGGTGCGAATCCCACATGAAATCCCTTGTGCGCCTTGGACAAGTGGTGGGCCTTATATAGTACCATATCTCCCTCCGAGAATTTGCATTTCTCGGCCACTATGTCCTGTTGTGTCTGCCTGTGATTTCTACCTCCCGCTTAAGTCTATCTCTGTTTATTGGTTCGACCTGCGTATGTGAATCAGATTTTAGGGTCCAATCCCCGGGTCTTTTGCACTCGCGTCCGAGTACTAACACCGATGGTGGATATCCTGTCTGTACATTGCGCCGATTTCGAATAGCAAATAAAATGGGGGCTAACTTCGTGTCCCAGGTGGTGTGTTTGCCGTTGGTGAGTGCCGCGCGTAGTCCTTTCTTTAAGTCCTGATTGCGGCGCTCGACCGGGTTGGCTCTTGGGTGATAGGTTGGGGTGGTCCAACCTTCCGCCCCCCCATCATTCAATCGCGCTAAGCATGTCGTTTGACACGAAATAGAAAAATTAATAAAATTTGTTTTTTATAATTAATTGAATGTTTTCTTTGATTCAAGTAACCTAATACTTTTTTGAAACCGAGTGTAGCTTTGGTTCGAACGTTATCCCAAATATCACCAAAAAAAA